AATCTTTTTGTCCTTGCTCAATTGGTTTCCCCTTGTGGACGATATCTTATGAATTGGCTTGACCTTCGATACCTTGGTATCGTTGGTCGTAAAGGACGGATTCCTACTTGGTTCAATTTTATTAAAAATAATTTTCTTTCTTCTCCTTTTTCTTCTTTATTGTTGCCTTTATATTTTATTAATTCTTCTTTTACTTTAGCTTCTCCTTGTTTATTAGATCATACTGTTAAAGATTATTTTTTTTATACTCAATGGGCTATTAATTTTAATTCAGCTACCCAAACTTTATCTGTGGGCCGTGTTTGTATCACATACAAGAAACAAGATTCTGCTATCATGTCTCATTGGCTTCCTGTATCATCCTCCGCTGATGAACGATCTTACAATCCTTGTCCTGGATGTTCATTTAATATCCCCGCCTTATCCAAGAAATCCGCAATTAAGCAACGCTGTAATAGCGAGAAGTGTTTTTTTAATGTAATCTTATCAGAAACCGTAGGCTATCCTACCAGAAATGCCAAAGTCTTTGCGGCTTACCTTCCGATTACTTTATCTACTTCATGGAGTTATGCTACTTCTCTGGCTCTTGTTCATTTGTCAAAACCGTCTTTATCTACTTATTCCACTATCTCTTCTACCTTAAAGGATAAGACTAACGATATTGTTTTACCACTTTCCGTGCAATCTCTGTATACTGATGGTTCTTTTCATGTTACTACGGACTCTTCACATGCTTCCATAACCTCTGCTTGGCTTGCCCTTGATAATGATGGACTTATTCTTGAATCTTCATCTTTGCAAATTTTTTCATGTCTTCCTTCAGCCTTACGTTCTGAAATCTATGCTGTTGTATTAGGACTAAACGCTCTTTCCCATGGCTCTTCAATCTCCATTCATACTGATTGTAGTCAGCTTATCTCAATATGGAAACGCTTTGTTGATGATCCCTTCTCACAGAAGTTGCTTCGAGAACATAATCATCTCCTTTGGCTTTCTATTCGATATCTTATTATGGATCGAGACCTTAAGGTTGATTTGATTAAAGTCCCTGCTCATGGCGATGACATCTATAATATGCAAGCGGATTCATTGGCAAAAAATGCTCATTCGTCTTCCCCACCTAATATTTCACCTTTGGCATTTTGTTATGCTCCGTGCTTGTTATAATTTAATTCTTTGCCTATTGACATGAATATTCGTCATTTCCTCCGCTCTATAGCTGATGCTCGTGCTCTTTTATCTTTCTGTTCACTGGCACGGTTTACTGCTATTGGTTCCCCTTCACTTTTTGATTGGGCTGGTATATATTTTTGCCTTTCACAAATTAAAGGTTTTGCTTCGCATAAGAATGGTCGTCCTGAATTCTGGATCTTCCGTATCAAACTCCTTTTGGATATGTTGCCTACTTTAACTACTCTTCAACAACGCAAACCTTATTTATATTCTCCCGATTGGCTTTGTCCACAATGCAACTCAGCTCCTGAAGATTTGAATCATCTTTGGACTTGTCCTTATATTCTTCCAGATTTAAATCTGTGTTTGACACATCGTTCTGAAATTGTCAAATTCAGAGATTCTTGTTTATCTTCGTTTTTATCTTTGAAGCCTTTGGATATTATTTTCCAAACTGAATTCTCTGCTTTAGAATGTTGGAACTATGAAACTCCTTCTTTGTCCTGTCTTTGGCTTACTAGAGGATTGTTGCCTGCGCATTTAACAGCATTTTTAAACCAACACTTTCCTCTCTCTGTCATATACAAGATTATTTCTCCTCTCCTTAATGACTTTCAAGTCGAATTGTATGGTGAAATTTGGCTGTGTCGGAATGTTCTTTTCCATGCTTGGGAAGAGTCGCAGGGTATCTCGGCTGCTTCCAAATTACGTGGCTCATCTATAAATTCTTCTCCTATTGTTCCTTCTCCACATACAAATAACTCTTCTTTGGCGACAGTTTCTCAGGATTCCTGGATTTCTTGGATATCCTCTTCTATAATTCGGGGTGGATCATGGATCTCACACTTGGATTTTCTGCGCCGCTTAACAG